ACTCTTTGATCTATCCCTTCTTTAGTATCAATTCTAGTTTTCTGGAATTTTTGCTTTAAAATCTAGTAGGTCAGCCTCACTTTGCTACCCTAAAAAATGTTAAACCTCATGATATGCATTGCAAATCTAGAATTATTATGTCAGTTCACACTGGACCCTTGCCAGCACTAGCTTTTAATAATGTTTTGCCAATGTAATTGAAAATACTTTCTCATTTCTTGGAGTTGATTTGTGTGAAATGTCTGTTTACATTTTTCCAAGTTTTCTACTGACATTTATATTTCCATTGATATTATGAAATTGCATGTATGTATACACAATATCTAACAATATATACAGACCTTTAATGTTAAAAACAAGTTGGCATATTTATTATTAATACAAATACCTTTCTCAATTTGTCATACGGTCTTCAATTATTAGGCCTGAAAAGTCGTAATACATTTTTGGATAGAAAAACATAGCAAAATATATTATGACTTTTCCAATGACCCAGTAGTATACTTTGTGATATGATAAATTAAAAGATTTTATTTTGTATTTTCTTTTATTGTTTAAAAAAACCTTCCCATTGGGCTAACAGTGGTACGGAGGTTAAGGTGGCTGGACTCTCATCACATGGCCAACTGCTTGGTTTGAGTCCTGGACCTGGTGACTTGAAAATCACTCCAAGCACATGTACATGCCTGCCCAAAATCCTGAGAGAAGATGGAGAAGAAGGGATTGTAGCATGACTGTCTTCTGATGGGGGATAGTTGAGAATTTCTCACTTTCTTTTGCTCTCTGTCTCTCTGTCTCTGGTAAGCACAAATCCCCTATAGCAAAACTAAAAAAAACAAACAAAAATATACCTCCTTCCCCCAGAGACCAGATAATTATTTGAGGTTGTTTTATTTTTTTAAAAAAATATTTATTTATTTATTTATTTATTTATTTATTTAATTTATCATTATTATTTTTTATTTGCTATAGGGTATGTGTGCTCCCCAGAGAGAGGGGAAAAAAAAGTGAGAGAGAGAGAGAGAAAATTGAGAAAGCAAGCTAACAGGTGTGAGATTTGAACCATGGTTGGCCATGAGGGAGTCCAGTGCCTTAACCACCATGCCACCTGCTGGCCCTTGAGGTTGTTTTTGGGAAGCTTCTAGTTTGTGTGTTCTGGAAGTTCAAAGTATCATTTTTGTTCTTAACTTATTTTCACTTTTTACTAAGATATGGTAGGTGTGCACACTGTGAGTGTGACTGTCCAGTCTAAGGTGGAGCTGCCTCTGTAGGACGGCAGGAAGGCACTGCTCAAAATTAATGATTCCACATGGCAACTGTAGTTTGAATCTTTAGCCCTGTCAGTTGGAAACACAGCACGAGTGCCCAAGATGCAGCCAGGCTAGGAGACTGGAGGAAGGCTAGTAGTGTGTGCAGGCCCTGTTGAGGGTGCTTGTATTTTTTTTCCCTGAATAGTAACTGACTTTCAATAATTAATGCTTGTAAAAGTCACCATTATGTGTTTGAGAGATAAAGTCATATCAAAACACAAAAGTTAAATTCTTTTGATTTTTCAAAAATATTCAATGTGCATAATTAATAATGAGAGATACCACTTGTTGGATGCATTCAGGAGACCAGGTATTGGGATTTTCTCATTAAAAAAAATTTTAAGGCCAGCAGGTGGCATGGAGGTTATGGTGTTGGATCTCACATGGCCTTCTCCGTGGTTCCAGTCCCAGACCTTGTGGCTTGAAAATCATGCTGGGCACAATTTTGAAAATCCTGAAAAGGAGACTGGGCTGAAGAGACTGTGGTGTGGTTCCCTCTTCCTCACCTTCTCTCTCTCTAGCTCTCCCTCTCTCTCTCTCAATTTCTCTGGCAAGCACACGTGTCCCATAGCAAATACTAAAAAATAAAAATGAAAAAAAAGGGTAACCATAGCATGCTAGATGTGGAATCTTTTGCCCGAGGGCATGTGTATTTGCCAGAGAGAGGGAAAAAGCAGCCCTCTGTTGGGTGTGGTCACATCATAATCCCTCTTCTTTCACTTCTCCATCCTGTTGGGATTTTGAACATGTATACACATGTGCCTCGCAAGTTTTTTCAAACCACTGAGACCTGGATTTGAACTGTGGTCTATCATGTGGGATCTGACTTCTTTAACTACTTAGCTATGGGACCTGCCTGAGATTTTCTCATTTAAAAAAATAATTTGGCCAAGGTCAAGTAGCTTGTTCTTTTACTCCAGGTACTTCTTCTAAATCACTCTCAATAATAAAAATAAATGAATCAATAAAAATCAGTAGTGTTAAAAGACCGAGATAACTTTCCTCATTAAAAATAGGTCTTGGGACCGGCAGTTAGCGTAATGGCTATGTCGCTGGACTCCCATGTAGTCAACCGTGGTTCAAGTCCTAGATCCGGTGGCTTAAAACTCATGCCGGGCGTGTGTGCGTGTGTGTCCAAGATCCCAAGAGGAGAATGGAGGAGAAGGGATTGCGGCGGGACCATCCCCCCTGGGGGGTGATTTCTCGCTTTCTTTCTCTCCGTCTCTCTCTGTCTTTCGGGCAAGCACACGCGCCCTATAGCAAAAACCTCTCCAAAAAAAACAAAGAAAAAATAGGTGTCAATGGGACCAGCAGATGTCATAATGGTTATGTCTCTGGACTCCCACATAGTCAACTGCGGTTTGAGTCCTGGACCTGGCAGCTTAAAACTAATGTGGGCGCATGTGCTCAAGATCCTGAGAGGAGAATGGAGGAGAGGGGATTGCGGCATGGCCATCCCCTCAGGGAATTTCTCACTTTCTGTCTCTCCATCTCTCTGGTAAGTGCACAAGCCCAATAGTAAAAATCTCTCTCTCAAAAAAAAAAAAAAATCTTTATCTGATCAAATCAAGTGATTCATAGAGCTGTCTAAGAGTCACTGATTAAATGGAAATTATGAATCATCACATTCTTTTAAGACTTGCAGAGTCTTCTAGGACAGTGCCTCTAACAAATCTAGTTTCCTTGGACTTACAAATGTCGGAGTTTACAATTGTCAATGATTAGATAACACTTTAGTACTAGTACTGAGGATTGCTTACCTATAAAAAAGCACTTTGGGGCCTCTCCTCTGTCATAGTGGTGATGAGCTCCTCAAGAGAAGATAAATCCTACATGATCATGTTTCAAGTCCCTGCCCTGATCAGCTTGAAACATGCGCCAGCTCCAATGGGCGGGAGGAGTAGAAGGAGACCATGGCATGAGCAGACCCTGTGGAGGGAGCTCATCTCCCTGTCTCTCCCTCTAACATGCACATACTCAAGTACTTATTATAAATAAAGAGAAAAAATCACTTTCTTAAAACAAAAAAGAAAATGGAAGGACCAACAGGTAGCATGGTTGTTAAAGTGCTGGACTCCCACATGGTTGACCATGGTTCGAGTCCTAGACCTGGCAGCTTGAAAAATCACGCTGGGTACATGTGAGTGCCCCAACTTCCAGGAAGAGAACGGAAGGGAATGGGTGATTTCTCACTTTCCTTCTCACTGTCTCTGTGTCACTCTCAGGCAAGCACATGTACCCTGTGACCAAAAGAAAAAAAGAAAGAAAAAAAAAAAGAAAGAAAAATAAAAGGAAAAACTTAAGCATGCTAGATATGGACTCTTTTCTCCCCCATTTTCTTTTTTTTTTTTTTTTCGGAGAGGTTTTCGCTATAGGGCGTGTGCGCTCGCCAGACAGACAGAGAGAGACAGAGAGACAGAAAGTGAGAAATCACCCCCCAGGGGGGATGGTCACGCCGCAATCCCTTCTCCTCCATTCTCCTCTCGGGATCTTGGGCACGCACGCACACGCGCCCGGCGTGAGTTTTAAGCCACCGGGTCCGGGACACGAACCGCGGTCGACTACGTGGGAGTCCAGCGACATAGCCATTACGCTAACTGCTGGTTCCCAAGAAAAAAAAAATTTTAAAGCCTGTTTCCCCTTGCAAAATTCATTATTTTTCTTATACCTAGGTAAGAAGAAAATGTTAAGCTTTTAAAGAAAACTGGTAAATCATACTTAACTTTCACTACTTTATCCCCCTCTCTTTTTTTTCTGAGAGGTTTTTGCTATAGGGTGCGTGGGCTCGCCAGACAGACAGAGAGAGACAGAGAGACAGTGAGAAATCACCCCCCAGGGGGAATGGCCACGCCACAATCCCTTCTCCTCCAGTCTCAGAATTTTGGGTATGCACACACATACTCAGCATGAGTTTCAAACTGCCAGGTCCAGGACTCCAACCACGTTCAACCATGTGAGAGTCCAGCACCTTAACCACTATGCCACCTTTCTATCTCTGTGAATTTGACTACTCTAGGTACCACCTCTAAGTGAAATTGTACAATATTTGTCCTTTTGTGTGGTTTATTTCATTTAGCATATCAGAATTGCCCTTTTTTTTTCTGATAGTTTTTTTTGCTATAGGGCACATATGCTCATCAGAGAGCAAGAGAAAGTGAGGAATCACTCCCCTCAGCAGAGATGGTCACCCTGCATTCCCTTTTCCATTCTCCTCTTGGGATCTTGGGTACACACATACACGGGCCTTGCCAAGTCCAGGACTTGAACATGCATTTGGCTTTGTAGGATCCTGCCTCTTCACTACCACACCACTGGTTGGCCCAAAATTGCCTTCATTTTTAAGGCTGAAAAATAGATATCTCACTGTGTGGGTATACCACATTATGATTAACCACCCATCTGATGATAGAGTTGGGATTGTTTCTACCTTTTGATGATTGTGAATATATGTGCTATGTTCTGTGCTCAAATCTCCCAAATACATCTTAAATTAAGATGGAGCCATGCCTGGTTGACCCTCTGCTCCTCCGTGCCTCTGTCCCACTGTAGGGCCCAACCCTCTCAGTATTGCTACTGGAGCTACATCAGGCTCATGGTGTAAAGAGAATTTTTTTAAAGCCCTTTTACCTTTACCCTTTCTTCCTTGGCTGGACTTTGTCCAGCCAGGTTTATTTATAAACCACGCAAACTCTTTAACAAGACCAAGCAGTCAGCAAGGCACCTGCATTACTGCAAGAAGACACTCCGAAGGGACAGGGCTGGGGCCGATGGCTGAGAATAAAAGTAAAAGGGACAGCATCGGGATGAGTACTAAGGGATGCCGGACAAACAATGGGTTTGTCCAAAATGAAGACATCTTGGAGCAGGTTCCGGATCCCCGCAGCTCAGAGGACAGCCCACAGCACAGCACCGTGGGCATCCTTGACTCAGAGGAGCCCAACTTCAAGGGTATCCAGCCCTACGCAGGGATGCCCAAGGAGGTGCTGTTCCAGTTCTCCGGCCAGGCCTGCTACCGAGTGCCCCGGGAGATCCTCTTCTGGCTCACTGTGGCTTCTGTGATTGTACTTATTGGGGCCACCATAGCCATCATCGCCATCTCCCCAAAGTGCCTTGACTGGTGGCAGGCAGGACCCATGTACCAGATCTACCCGAGGTCTTTCAAGGACAGCGACAAGGATGGGAACGGAGATCTGAAAGGTGCGTGCCTCTAGACGGTTCAGGGAGGGAGCCAGGATGAGGCTGTTTTATGACTGTCCCATTCCTTGAAACCTGGGAGGGAGCAGGGATGAGGCTGCTTTATGGCGGTCCCAGTCCTTGAGGACTATGCCTGGGTTGTGCCATCAGCACATTCCAGCAGGACATCAAGGTTCTCCTTGTTTATGATATTGAAAAGAAAACAAAAAGGCTCACTCCAGCAATTCTTCCCCTTCAATGAAAGGTTTTTTATTTGCTGAAGGCCTTTGAACCCGAAGAGTTGTTTCATTTATTGCCCACTATGTGTATCTGTGGTTGGTCATCAATTCTAACTTCTTACATGAAGCAGGTTTCCTTGTCATTGTGGTTTTCTGTTTTAGAAAGTATAATTTATAGTTGAATACCTCAGAGTGACCGTTGAGATTTACTTTCCCAGTTTATGATGTGGCTGTTTAGCAGTTCGACTAAATGAAGAAGAATACAAATGTTTTAGAAAATAATTAAATGATGTCTGTAAATGGTGGGGGCTGAGGCCTAAAGTTTAAATCCTGAAAAAAGCTGTCGCAATGTGTTGGGTTTGAATTGAAAAGTACTAAAAATAGTATTCATCTTAGTAGCGAAAAATTAAGTTTTCAAAGTTAAGCTAATGATTTCCTGAGGAGTTACATAGACTAATTTATTGCCCAAACTAGGTTGCAGTAAGCATAAAGGAGAACTATCCTAGGCAAAGTGGCTGATAGGGTAGCCCTAGTTAAGGACAACAATACGAAACTATGAATAATAAGTGAACTGACAAGCTCCATTTTTATAATAGTAACTGGTTTGATGAAAACAGAAAAGGATAATATGCTACGGTATGGGAAGTTGGGCTTAACCCATTTTTAAAATGTTACAGTAAACTCTTGGAATCTCTAACTTCCCTTAACAGCTAATGAAAGATTTTTCTTTTTTATACTCACGTCATTCTCTCTTTTTGAATCTTCCTTCATCTTCACTAATTAAACAATACTGTATCTGTCTTCCAACGTGTAACTCACACCCATTTGCTTTCATTAACCTTTTTTTTTTAATTTGCCAATGTTCACTGGAGAGAGGTGCAAAGAGAGAGAGAGAGAGAGAGAGAGAGAGAACCCCCCACAAGGGATGGTCATACTGCAATCCATTCTCCTCCGTTCTCCTCTCAGGATTTTGGGCATGCACACACAGGCACCTATCATGTTTCTCAAGCTACCAGGTCCAGGACTGGAACCACACAGTTGGCCATGTGGGACTCAGGCTTGTACTTATTGGGGCCACCATAGCCATCATCGCCATCTCCCCAAAGTGCCTTGACTGGTGGCAGGCAGGACCCATGTACCAGATCTACCCGAGGTCTTTCAAGGACAGCGACAAGGATGGGAACGGAGATCTGAAAGGTGCGTGCCTCTAGACGGTTCAGGGAGGGAGCCAGGATGAGGCTGTTTTATGACTGTCCCATTCCTTGAAACCTGGGAGGGAGCAGGGATGAGGCTGCTTTATGGCGGTCCCAGTCCTTGAGGACTATGCCTGGGTTGTGCCATCAGCACATTCCAGCAGGACATCAAGGTTCTCCTTGTTTATGATATTGAAAAGAAAACAAAAAGGCTCACTCCAGCAATTCTTCCCCTTCAATGAAAGGTTTTTTATTTGCTGAAGGCCTTTGAACCCGAAGAGTTGTTTCATTTATTGCCCACTATGTGTATCTGTGGTTGGTCATCAATTCTAACTTCTTACATGAAGCAGGTTTCCTTGTCATTGTGGTTTTCTGTTTTAGAAAGTATAATTTATAGTTGAATACCTCAGAGTGACCGTTGAGATTTACTTTCCCAGTTTATGATGTGGCTGTTTAGCAGTTCGACTAAATGAAGAAGAATACAAATGTTTTAGAAAATAATTAAATGATGTCTGTAAATGGTGGGGGCTGAGGCCTAAAGTTTAAATCCTGAAAAAAGCTGTCGCAATGTGTTGGGTTTGAATTGAAAAGTACTAAAAATAGTATTCATCTTAGTAGCGAAAAATTAAGTTTTCAAAGTTAAGCTAATGATTTCCTGAGGAGTTACATAGACTAATTTATTGCCCAAACTAGGTTGCAGTAAGCATAAAGGAGAACTATCCTAGGCAAAGTGGCTGATAGGGTAGCCCTAGTTAAGGACAACAATACGAAACTATGAATAATAAGTGAACTGACAAGCTCCATTTTTATAATAGTAACTGGTTTGATGAAAACAGAAAAGGATAATATGCTACGGTATGGGAAGTTGGGCTTAACCCATTTTTAAAATGTTACAGTAAACTCTTGGAATCTCTAACTTCCCTTAACAGCTAATGAAAGATTTTTCTTTTTTATACTCACGTCATTCTCTCTTTTTGAATCTTCCTTCATCTTCACTAATTAAACAATACTGTATCTGTCTTCCAACGTGTAACTCACACCCATTTGCTTTCATTAACCTTTTTTTTTTAATTTGCCAATGTTCACTGGAGAGAGGTGCAAAGAGAGAGAGAGAGAGAGAGAGAGAGAGAACCCCCCACAAGGGATGGTCATACTGCAATCCATTCTCCTCCGTTCTCCTCTCAGGATTTTGGGCATGCACACACAGGCACCTATCATGTTTCTCAAGCTACCAGGTCCAGGACTGGAACCACACAGTTGGCCATGTGGGACTCAGGCACTTTAACTCAGGCACCCCACCATTGGTGAGCCCGCCTTCATCAATATTGATTTAGCCTTCATAATCAGAGAATGGGCTCCCTTGCCTGGACTCCTGCAGTTCTTTGGACTCTGTATATAGCACCCTTTGACGCTGCCTGTCATACATACTTCTTTTCTGCCTGCCACATGTCCCTAGCACCTTCTGCCTTTAGTACAGTAAGCGCTTGACAAAAGTGATGTTTTAACTAAATAGAGCAGACTCTAAATCCAGGGTTACAGTGCCACTTCCTGGCCCTGCCTTCCTAATCATCTAGATAGTCCAAGATTCCGATAAACATGGCAGTTTATAATCAGCTCTGACATTTGTCTTTTCCAATAACTCTCCCTTGGGGGACTGGTCACTTCTTTGTCCTTGAAGCTGAGGGATTTTGTTGTTTTATGAAGAAGCTGTTTCAGGTTTGTTTGGTTTTGGTGCTTGCCTCAGTCCCCTGGAATGTGTTTACTGTGTCACCCATCCCTTTGTTTTCATCATTATCTTTCTTTATGCCTGTTGTCACAATATTTGTGTTGCTCTTCTAGCTTAAATCAAAACTCTTTGTTGCCTGTTGATACTCTGTGAACTCTGACAGCCCCCCTATGGGGGAATTGAGGCAGAGAGGGGACAAAAACAAGCAGGGTGTTGTAGAGGAGCCCAGGCCTAGGGTTGGGCAACTTGTGCTTTTGTCTCAGTGACCTTCAACCTCCCAGGTTCCTCAGTCAGGCTATCATTCTAGGAAGCCACATTGAGATCACATAGAAAGTTACTGAGATTGATTACCAAATTCGACTCTGAATTTGCATTTAGGACTCTTAAATAGAAGACAGAGAGATAGAGGGAAGGAAAAAAAAAACTGTAATTATCTACCAGGTTCCAAGTACAGACTTGCACTTCCGTATCTCTTTTCCACCAAGCCTAGAATTCTCTTCTGTATAAACTTTTGGCTTCCCATGTAAGAGAATAAGGAGAAAGGTCCACATTCAGTTAGTTTAAGAAAGTCTGAGAGTGGAACAGAAGAGCCCTCAAACATTGGCACACACTTACCTTCTCTCGCATAGTCGGGCTCCTTCCCCGTCCTCTGCTCCAGGCAGCATGTCTCAGGCTTTCTGGATCAGCCCTGTCTCTGCCTGGCTACTGGTTTCCTTTGCTTCTGTTGGAAGTTCTTCCCTCTGACTCTCCTGGTTCCTACTCTCCTGTGACCTTCTCCATCCCTGCTCTAGGGGTCATCAGCTTCCAGTGCCCCAGGCCATCAGGAACTGAAAAGCACTTGTTGCACCTTTTCCTGTAGCTCCTCCCTGGTTTGGTCATCATCCAACTCCTGCCTATTTATGCTTCTGAGACCAGCCCTGGCAAAGAAACTATAATGGGAGCCATTTATTAATTGCTGATTTTCTGATAGTCACGTTTCAAAAAGTAGAAAATGGGCCAGCTGGTGGTGCAGTAGCAATGCAACTGAATCAACGTGGAAAAAGTCCTGGGTTCAAGTCCTGAAACTTCATTGAACATGTGGGGCACATGTGTGCCCATGATCCAGGCTGGCTGAGGTTGGGGTGGGATCATGGTGTAAAGATCCTGTTGGGGGTACCTGTCTCTCTTGCTATGTCTCCTCTCTCTCTCTTATGGAAAAAATTTAAAAACTTTAAAAAAGTAAAAAAGAAATAAGTAAAATTAATTTTAATAGTACATTCTGTTTAATCCAATCTATTCAATATGCCATTTCAACATATAATTGATATAAAATATTGATGAACTATTTTATGTTCTTTTGTGTTAGGTCTTCAAAATTTGGTTGGTTCTTTTTTTTTAGAATTATTTATTTAATTTTATTTATTTATTCATTTATTTTATTTTGACTAGAGAGTGACACAGAGAGGGAGAGGGAAAATGAGAAAGGAAGCCACCAGGTCTGAGACTTGAACTATGGTTGACCATGTGGGAGTGTCCAGTGCCTTAACCACCATTCCACCTACTGTCCTCAAAATCTGGTGTATGTTTACCCTCACAATATGTCTCAGTTTGAACTAGTGACATTGCAAGTGCTCAGTAGTCAAAAGTGGCAAGTGGTTTTTGTACTGAGCTGCACAGCTTAGACCACCTGACCATCAGGGGTCATGTGTTCTTTGATCCTTGGCACTTACTGGGTTGTCGGAAAAATCAAGACACGTTTTTGCACAGAAAAACATAGAAAAAATACATCATGACTTTTCTGATAACCCAATAGATTAAACATGTGTAAAATATATTAACCATACTGTGGGTTTAGTTTCAAGTCACAGGTAGATTTTTTAATGTTATGTGTCTCTGTTAAAGGTTATTGCTAGAGACTAATTTGATGTTATTCATAGAGCTAGACCTTTGTTATTTAAATTTCACTCAAGTTCAACATTCCCAGTATTTGTGCCTTCAATATAAATATTTTTTATGTTAGTTATATTTAATGTTTAACCCTTCAACTGGAAAAATAAATTAGAATTTATTCATGGCCTCGCCTTTTTTTCTTTAGGTATTCAGGATAAACTGGACTACCTCACAACTTTAAATGTGAAAACTGTTTGGATTACTTCATTTTATAAATCATCCCTGAAAGATTTCAGATATGGCGTTGAAGACTTTCGAGAAATTGATCCCATTTTTGGAACAATGAAAGATTTTGAGAATCTGGTTGCAGCCATACATGACAAAGGTGAATTGAATGGCAGGTGAAGGGAGATATAGGGAGAGTTTTTTGTTTGTTTGTTTTATGAGTTTTTTTTTTGCTACAGGGCACATGCTCTTGCTGGAGACACAGCGAGAAATCACCCCCTGGGGGCTGGCCACACCACAATCCCTTCTCCTCCATTCTCTTCTTGGAACTTTTAGGCACATATGCACACATCCTGGCATGCATTTTCAAGCTGCCGGGTCTGGGGCTCAAACCATAGTCAGCCATGTGGAAGTCTAGCCCCTTAACCACTATGCCATTTATTGACCCCCTGTAGGTGAGGATTTTGAAAAGTACTCCTCTAAATGCTTACTTAAATAAAGTATTCCACCCACCACCCTTAACTGTCATGTATTATTCTAATATAATCTTTTCCTAACAATCGAAATGTTTTCCCTCATTAGGTTTAAAATTAATCATCGATTTCATACCGAACCACACCAGTGATAAACATGTTTGGTTTCAATGGAGTCAGACACGGACAGGGAAATATACTGATTATTATATCTGGCATGACTGCACCCAGGAAAACGGCATAACCATACCACCCAATAATTGGGTAAGTACACCTGATTTGCGAACATGGGCAGAACTGGTGATTCATCTGGTTATTTATAAAATCCCTTTTAAAAAGTTGTCAGAAGGCATGTACACTGGCTATGGGAAGGGGTGAATGAGAAATCATCCCCCATGACGATGGCCACACCACAATCTTTTCTCCTCCAGTCTCCTCTAGGGATTTTTGGGCACATGTGCACATTCGCCTGTGTGTTTTCAAGTCTCAGGGTCCAGGACTCAGTTGGCCATGTGGGTAGGATCCAGCTGCCTTACCACTACGTCACCTATTGACCCAATATACAGCCCTGTTGAGGGAAACATGAGTGGATATGGTTTATGGGAAGGGAGGAAAGTTTCCCAGAGAAATAGAAATCGGTAACCAGACTTCCACGTCCTTTAGATTTTATTGTTGAGCTGTTGTGTTGCAACAAATTAAAACCTACACTCTGTGAGTCTCTCCACCCCTCCGCTCCCACCCAGTCCAGCTCAGAGTCCATGTCCCATTAGTTCAGTAACTGCTCTGTTGCTATTCAGACCCGTTTTCTTTCTGACTTTGACTCCCCTTTTTGACAAAACCTAGTCATAAATGAACCCAATCATCTATTGATACTTTGTACTTGCCTGAATCTTGGTATCTGAGCCTCTTTTTTTTTTTTTTCCAGTCTAAACTTTTATAATGTCTCAAAGGACAAGACCAACAAAACAAAGACATGAAAGTGTCGGGAAGTCTGCTTACATGAAAACATTTCTAAAGGAATTATTTATTTTATTTCTTATTTGTTAATTTGCTATCATCATCAGAGAGAGAGAGAGAGAGAGGAGAAGTGAGAATGCAAGCCACCAGGTCTGGAAACATTTGGGAGTCCAGCACCCCAACCATCACCGACCTGCTGGCCCCACATGAAAGCATATTAAGTGACTGTTGAGGTGATCATGAGACTTTGTCCTTTATTCTATTAATATGGTGCATTATACTGATGGACTTCCAGATGTTAAAACATTCTCGCAGTCCCAGGATGAAAACCATTTGGTCATGGCATATGCTCCTTTTCATAAGTTAGTGGGTTGTGTTCTAGTATTTCATTGAAGATTTTTGTGTATATATCCAGAAAGTTATTGATCTATAGTTTTATTCTTTTTTATCTTATTTTATTTCAAGTTCTTTTATACATTCAATCACGTCATTTAGTTTGCCAAGTGAATATTCCAACATGTTTACATTTCTCCTCTTGAGACACCACACATTCTTTACCCCCGACTGAGCCCAGCCATACCATCTTCCTGGAAATTTCACTAAACCCAACTGATCCACCTGCCCTGCCACCTTCTCTTCAAACATCCTATTTGCTTCGCTCCCATCTTACCACTCTCGGCAGCAAACTACTTCCCAAGAATGGAAACCATCACCCTGCCTGCCCCAGTGCCCCCTCTTTTTGTTCACTTCTTTTACAACAGAGGCCATGCCCTCTCTAGGGTGACCAGATTTAATGAATAAAAAATCAGGAGACCCATCAAATCTGGATTTCAGATAAACTATACATAATTTTTTAGTATATTTTATAAGTATGGTCCACGCAATACTTTCTTTTAAAACAGCATACACTGTTTACCTGTAATTATGTTTTTAAAAATTATTTTATTTAATTTTATTTATTTTAATTTGACCAGAGAGGAACACAGAGAGAGAGAAAGTGAGAGAGCAAGCTGCCAGTTCCAGGATTTGAACCTGAGGCCAGCTCCTTTAACCACCATGACACCTGCTGGCCCCAGCCTGCAATTAAGGTTTAACTGGGTGACCTGTATTTCCTCTGGAACCTCCACTCTGTCCTAGGCTGGATCTTCCACCTCCTCTCCTCCTTGCTTCCTTTTCTCTTCTTTTGGAGCCTTTTACTATGAATCAGGTCTCTTCACTTCAATTCCTCCTTTTCTCGTTTTGACCTTCTCTGTGAACATTTAGACATACTGGCTCTGGGCACAACTTCTAAATGACCCGAGGATGTTCAGATTGCTATGCTTCAAACTGACTGTGTGATCTCCCAGGTCAGTGAACGGCACCCCCATGCAGCCTGAGGAATAGGAAGGACATCAGCAGGTCCTGGCAGTTTCTTTTTAACCTCTTTATTTTTTCTCCAACCCACCTACTTGTTAAAATAATAATAATGCCAACACCCATTTACTAAATATTCACTATGTGCCAGGTTGTGTTTTTATTCATTAATTCATTTAATCTACCCTACAATCCTATGAATTGGGTTTTAATTCCTGTTTTGTTTTTGTTTGTGGTTTTTACCAGAGGGCATGTGTGCTCGCTGGAGAGAGACACAAACTATATATATATATCTATATCTAGCTATCAATCTATATATCTATATCTAATCTATATCTATATCTAATCTATATCTATATCTAATATATATAGAGAAATCATCCCCCACGGGGATGGATGGTCATGCCTCATTCCCTTCTCTTCCATTCTACCCTTGGGATTTGGGGTATGCCCACACATGCACCTGGCATGAGTTTCAAGCCACCAGGTCTGGGACTCAAACCATGGTGGGAGCCTTAACCACTATGCCACCTGCTGGCTCCTGTTTTGTATATAGGCAGACCAAGATCAACAGCTAATAAACAAAAACACAGAGCCGGAGCTTGTCTGTCCAACTCCACAGTCTGCTTTAAAACAATTGCCACTTGTAACTGAAACCTTATCCTATGTTCCTGTAATACTTCCCGTATCCTATGTTCCTATAACACTTCCTGTCTCCTATCTTCCTGTAACACTTCCTGTCTCCTATCTTCCTGTAACACTTCCTGTCTCCTATCTTCCTGTAACACTTCCTGTCTCCTATCTTCCTGTAACACTTCCTGTTATCATATCTTCCTGTAACACGCTATAGCAGCCTCTTTTTGCATTTAAATTTTCCATCCTTCCATCAGTTCTCCATTGTGGTCAAAGTTACATCCTTTTTCTCCCTCTCTCTCTCTCTCTCTCTCTCTTTTAAAATTTCTTTATTTCTTCCATGATAAAGACAGAGGGAGAGAGATATATAGAGAGAGGCACTCGTAACATGGTCCTCTTGCCGCAGTTCACCCCAGCCTTAGCCTGCCCAGGTCATGGGCATGCACGTGTGCCTGCATGCATAGGGAGGCCTGGGAATGCAAACCTAGGCTCTCCCATGTGGGTCCAGTATCACAGAGTATTGTATTAAGAAATCATTCTCCAGGGGGAATGATCACACTGCAATCCCTTCTCCTTTATTCTCCTCCCAGGATCTTGGGCATGTACACACATACCCCCGGCATGAGTTTCAAGCTACTAGGTCTGGGATTCGAACCATGGTTGGCCATGTGGGAGTCCAGTGTCATAACCACTATGCCATCTGCTGCTTCCATTTTCTTTCTTCCTTTTTTTTAATGCTGCAGGGCTCATTCATTCACTACAGTCAGAGAAATCACTCTCCCTCTCTGCTTCTCTGACTCTAGTACCCACCAATGGGATGTGGTCATACCACATCACTTAGTGAGTTCCCCATCGTGTTGGGATTTGGAGGCATGCATGAGTATGCACCCAGCATATTTTTCAAGCCCCCGGGTCTGGAATTTGAACCATAGTCAGTCATGTGACATCTGGCCCCCTTAACCACTAGGTCCACCTATTATATATATCTTACATTTTTATTTTTTATTTCTGTATTTTAAATATATGGAAAGTGTAATGCTATGTAGTTATCTGTGACTTTTGTTTTTGCTAATTATTTTTAAATTTTATATAGCTCTGGTAGCTGTGATTCATACATTTTTATTGTTACATGATAATTCATTGTGTGAATAGTCCATGATTTATTTATCCACTCTTCAGCTGATAAGCATTAGGTTGTTTCTAGGTGGTTTTTTCTTTCTCCCTTTCTTCCTTCCTTCCTTCCTTCCTTCCTTCCTTCCTTCCTTCCTTCCTTCCTTTTTTCTTTCTTTCTTTCTTTCTTTCTTTCTTTCTTTCTTTCTTTCTTTCTTTCTTTCTTTCTTTCTTTCTTTCTTTCTTTCTTTCTTTCTTTCTTTTTTAATTTTCTAAAAGGCAGGTGTGTTTTCCCAAGAGAGACAGAGAAGGAAAGTGAGAAAGCACCCTCGCGACTCCCTCAGGGAGGATGCCACGTTATAATCCCTTCTCCTTCTCCTCCATTCTCCTCTTGGGATCTTGGTCATGCACGCACATGTGCCCAGAGCATTTCTCAGATTTCTGGGCCTGGGATTCAAACTCTGCAGCTGGCTATGTGGAATCAGTTGCCTTTACCACTCTGCCACTTGTTGGCCCCAGTTTTTTAATATTATTAACAATATTATTATAAACATTCATTAACCTATTTATCTAGAGCACATGTGCAAGACCTTTAAAGTAAATAGGAGTGAAATTGCAGTGCGAGATACTGCATACTCCACTCTCTAAGATACTGTCACATTGATTATCAAAGTGGTTCTACCAATTTATATTTCTTCCAGCAGTAGAAAGAATACATGTCCTCCTTCATTACTGATATTGCAGATTTTGTCATTTTTGCCATTCAAGTAAACAAAATAGCATCAAGTTGAGGCTTTAATTTTCCATTTATCTAATTACTAGTGATTTGTCTAATTACTGATGTAGTGATTATCCAATTACTAATGCTGTTGAACATCTTTTCCTACATTTATTCATTTGAATTCTATTTCTGTGAAATACCTGTTAATGGTTTGTTTCCCTAATTTTCTTTTGGATTGTTTGTCCATTTGAAATTGCTTTCTGAAATTCTTTTTGTGTTCTGATACTGATATTTTGTTGGAAAAGGAAAAAAAAAGATATAAAATATCTAATCCTGATTTGTGTCTAGGAGAGCCGTGTGGTAAACTGGTTCCTTGAAAGGCAGCAGCTACTGTTCAGTTTCAGTTAGTTGTTGCCATGAAATATGGACCCAGTGTGACTAACTCTTCCAACCAAAAAGAATAGAGGATTTAAGGGCCCAGCACTTTAATGCTGGAAGCCATGTGGAAGATCAGGGTTTGGTTCCCAGGTAGACATGTGCATGTTGCATGTGCATGTGTGCACATATGCCCATAATCCTGACTGGCTGGGAAATGAACAACAACAACAAAAAAACTGAAAAAAGAAAGACATTGATGCCAAATCTCTCAGTTTTTAGATATTTTTCAGATGCTGTCTTTAACATGAAATGAACAAAAGACCCCATCAAACTCTCAAATTTAAGGGAGCACAGATGAGGCTGAGAGTGGCCAGTAGGCCAGCCAGTAGCATGGTGGTTAAGGCAACTGGATCCCACATGGCCAACTGCATGGTTCAAAAATTCTGGACCTGGTGGCTTGAAAACCATGCTGCATGTGTGTGAATACATGCCCAAAATTCTGAGACGAGAAGGTATTACAGTGTGGTTACCGCCGGGGGGGGTTCTCTCTCTCTCCCTCTTTTTCTTTCTGGCAAGCATGTGCACCCTACAGTGAAAAAAAAAATGGTCAGAGATGTGGGAGGGTAAATAGGAGAACCATATCATGGAGTCACAGACATGAAGATTTCTAGAAAGAGGAAAATGGATGACAGTGTCAAACACTGCTGGGTACCAACACCCAAAACTGGTACATTTTTATTCTTGAGGACCAGTAGAATTTTCAAGTGAATGATTCTAATAATTTTGGGGGAACACAATTTAAATATTCAGTCTATCTGGATTAAAACTCCAAGACCAATGGAATATGTTTTGCTCCCAAATTGGCCACCATTTGCATTTCTTCACAAGTAGCCTCCCTTGACTGGAGAGAAGATTCAAATTAGTAATGTCTTTTTTTCTTTTTTTTTTTTTTTAATTTATAAGAGCTAATTAATTAGTTAATTGATTTAAAAAATTTGACCAGAGAAAGAGAGAGGGAAAGTGAGAAAGCAAGCCACCAGGTCCAGGACTTGATCCCGGGTCTGCCATGTGGGAGTTCGGTGCTTGAACCACCATGTCACCTGCTAGCCCCAGCAATGTTTGTTCTTTGTTCTTTCTTTCTTTTTTTTTTTTCTTGAGAGTTTTTTTTTTTTTTTTTTTTTTTGGGGTTTTTTTTTTTTTTTTTTTTTGCTACAGGCTGTGTGCATTCACCAGACAGACAGAGATGGAGAGAAAGTGAGAAATCATCCTCCGGGGAGGATTGCCTTGCAAAGTTCTCCATTCTCCTCTGAGGATCTCGGGCACACACCACACATGCCCACTGTGATTGCCATGCCACCAGGTCTGGGACTCAAGCCATGGTAGGCCATGTGGAGACCAGTGACATAACTGCTACGTCATCTGCTAGTCCCTAAAATCTTCTTCCACCAGCTCACTGGAGGCCATTCTTTCTTACAAATTCAATTTTTTTTTTGAGGTTTTTGCCTTAGGGTGCATGCAATCACCGGTGAGAAAGAGAGACAGAGACAGTGAAAGGGAAAGTGAGAAATCAACCCCCCCCCCCAGGGGGATGGCCACACACAATCCCTTCTCCTCCATTCTCCTCCTAGGATCTTGGACATGTATGCACACACGCCGTGCGTGAGTTTTAAGCCTCTGGGCCAGGGACTTGAACTACAGTGAGCCATGTGGGAGTCCAGCACCTTAGCCACGGTGACACCTCCTGGCCCCGCAGTAATGCTTTGTTCTTTATATTGGCCTTGTCTTGTGTTTTTTTTTTTTTTTTTTTTTTTTTTGGAGGGTTTTGGCTAACGGGCCGGTTGGCGCCCAATCGCTATAGGGCGTGTGTGCCCGCCAGACAGACAGAGAGACATAGAGACAGAAAGCGAGAAATCACCCCTCTGGGGGGATGGTCACACCACAATCCCTTCTCCTCCATTCTCCTCTTGGGATCTTGGGCATGCACGCACACACGCCCGGCGTGTTTTAAGCCACCGGGTCCGGGACGCGAACCACAGTCGACTATGTGGGAGTCCAGCAACATAGCCATTACGCTAACTGCTGGTCCCAGCCTTGTCTTGTATTTGAGAGCATTGGCTTACAATTGTGGTTGTTATGATCTGCTTCTACAAATACGTGGCAGCCATCTGTGTGGGGCATTCAGCCAGCAGGTAGTATTTAGGGATGGATTCAGGCTAGAGCTCTACAGACAGAAAATCCTCAGGATTTATACACACACACTGCCTGCATGAGGCCACGGCTGGCAGTGACGTTTTCTTCTTTGTGGGCAATGGCATCATATGAATAATGCTAAGTAATGAATGTGTTACTTTCTTCGTTTGCTAGGTCAGTGTCTATGGAAACTCCAGCTGGCACTTTGATGAAGTGAGAAACCAATGTTATTTTCACCAGTTTACAAAAGAGCAACCTGATTTAAACTTCCGCAATCCTGATGTTCAAGAAGAAATAAAAGTGAGTAGAGACATCCACACAGACTTCTTTATTAACGGGAGCCTGGGTGCTCATTCGAAACATTTTGTATTGAACATTTTAATTGTGTAGGCCAAACCAAGTAGTGTAATTAAGTTCCAGGACCGAGGCATCTGACACGAATGAAGAGAGCCATGTTGGTGGCTCCTTCCTTTATTTATATCCCAGAATAACCTGAATGGAAGCAGCGTGGGGCAGAAACATCTACTTTAGCTCAGAGGAGCCCCCGGACCTGTGACAAGGAGCTGGAGTAGGAAGGCGAGTCAACTGTGGGCTTTGGAGGCTGGCTCCTGCACCCGCAGCGGCTCCGGGTGGGTTACTTGGCTTTTCTGTGTTTCATATCCCTTGTCCTTGGAACACAGTTGATGGTAGCACTTGTCTCATAGGGGTGTGTGGATGATTACATGAGATAACCCACACACGACACTTCTGCATTCAGTCCGTTAGCATGAACTCACTGCTTACTCCATGCAGGCCCACTTCCAGACACTGGGAAACCAGCAGTAAATAAAAGAAGTCCTGCCCTCAAGGAGTCTCTGATACACTGAGGGGAAAGCAGGCCATTAACAACTAAGTCCACGCAGTGTCAGGTGGTGGTGGTGCTGAGGGAAAGGGCACTGCAGCGCCAGGCAGAGGCTCCCCTTCTCTGTGAGGTGATTAGGAGACAGCCCTGTGATGAGGCGCTGTTTGGACAAAGATCTGACAAGTGTAAGGGAGCCATGTGACTATCTAGCTGGAAGAGAATTTCAGGCAGAGGGGAGGACAAATGCAAAGGGCAGGAGTGTACAGCAGGTATTTCAGGAATGACATGGAGGCCAATGTGTAGGGTTGCCAGTTAGCAAATAAAAATCCAGGACACTCAGTTAAAATTTAAATTTCAGATAAATAATAAATAATGCAATATTTGGGACATACTTCTAAAATATGATTCACTGCCTTACCAGCATTAAAATTTAACTGGATGTCCCGTACTTTATCCGGCAATCCTTCCAGAGTATTGGAGTAAAATGAGGGCGAGAGTCAGGGAGCCGAGGTCCAAGAGATGGGGGCTGAGTACACGGGCCTTGAGTGTTGTCATAAGGGGCACGCCGAGCCAGTGAAGAGCCCTCTGTGGCTCTGTGGATAGATCGCCTGGGTGAAGTCTGGTGGGCTCACACCTGTGGGGTGATGCTGGTTCCAACAGTACGTGATGCATAATTCACAATATATCTTGGCGTGCTGTTCTCGTTCTTGCCTCCACTATGGCTATTGTGGGCAGATATTTAGGTGAGTGGTATAGTGCTCCGAGGCAGGTAGGTGGAGAAGATACCCGACCGGAACAGCTCACCATGTCAACCAAAGCAAGAGGAGACGAGCTGCCACGTTGCAGTCACTAAGGCCACCTGGAACTGTTTTTCTTTTAAGTAACAGTTTCATTGAGGTTTAATACACATACCACTAATTTTATTCCTTTCGGTTGCATAAGTGAGTGATTTTAGTGTGAACTTAGTATTTGGGTCATCCGAGAAGTCATGATGCATTTTTGCATTGAAAACCAGAAAAATACCTCATGACTTTTCCAACGACCCAATGTATTCAGTGTGCAGTTATCACCACTAACTTCAGAGCATTTTAAATTTTTTTCTTTATTCATGACAGAATGCATATGTACATGAGACAGAGAGAGAGAGAGAAGCATATGTGCATGAGATAGAGAAAGAGAGAGAGAGAGAGAGAAGCATATGTGCATGAGAGAGAGAAAGAGAGAGAGAGAGAGAGAGAGAGAGAGAGAGAGAGGCATAAACCCTCCACAGGTCTGGTTATATCAAGATCTCCTTCCAGATCTCCAGCCCCTTGGATCTTTGGTGCTTGCATGCATGCCCGGAGTGTCAGGCTGACTGGACCTACGATTCGAAACGCAATTGCTATGTAGGATTCAGCTCGTCTTGAGCAGCTCACTACCAGCGCTTCATGGAGCCAACCCAATTTCAGAACACTTTTATCATAAAAATATCCCATGTCCATTAGCAGTCACTCCCTTGATCCTATCCCTTTTCCCGGCAACCTAAATTGCTTTCTGTCTCTATGGATTTGCCTATCCTGGACCTGTCACATAAAAGGCACCATACAATATCTATCTATCTATCTGTCTGTCTGTCTATCTATCTATCTATCTATCTATCTATCTATCTATCTATCTATCTATCATCTACCTAAATCTATCTATCTATGATATGTAATTATATTTTTATCTATGTTTAACTATTTGAGAAATTGCCAATCTCTTTTCCAAAGTAGCTGCACCATTTTACATTCTCACTAGCAAAGTATAAGGATTCCCATTTCTCTTCATCCTCACCAACATTTATTCTCTGTCTCTCTCTTTTTTTTAGAGAGAGAGAGATTTTTACTCTCTCTCTCTAAAGGGCATGTTCACTTGCTGGAGAGACAGAGAGACGGAAAGCGAGAAATCACCCCCCCAGGGGGATAGCCATGCCATAGTCTCTCCTCCATTCTCCTCTCAGGATTTTGGGCATGCATGCGCACATGCTCCAAGTTTTAAGGCACCAAGTTTTAAGTTGTTGAGTCCAGGATTCAAACGGTGGTCGACTACGTGGGAGTCCAGCAACGTAACCATTACACCATCTCCTGGTCCCCTCTGTCTCTTCTTATTATAATCATCCTAGTGGGTGTAAAGTGGTATCTCACTGGTCTGTATGTATTTGCATGTCTCTAAAGGCTAATGAAGCTGAGCATCTTTCCATGTGCTTATGGTTCATTTGTATATATTCATTGTAGAAATGTCTATTAAAATCCATTGCCCATTTAAAAATTATTATTTCTAATTTGCATATCATAGTTGTATTGGATTGTTGGAAAAGTCACAACATATTTTTTCTATGCAAAAATGCATCATGGAACCAGCAGTTGGCATAATGGCTATGTCGCTGGACTCCCACGTAGTCGACTGCGGTTTGAGCCCCGGACCCGGTGGCTTAACCTCACGCCGGGTGCATGTGCGTGCGTGCCCAAGCTTCCTAGAGGAGAATGGAGGAGAAGGGATTGCAGCGTGGCCATCCCCCCTGGGGGGTGATTTCTCACTTTCTGTCTCTCTGTCTCTCTCTGTCTGTCTGGCGAGCGCACGTGCCCTATAGCAAAAACCTCTCAAAAAAAAAAAAAGCAACAACCAATATTATACATATTTATGGGGTACAGTGTGGGTTTTAAAAACAGGTATCTATTGTAAATACATCAAATCAGAGTGTGGAATACATCTACCATCTCAAGTATTTATTATTACTTTGTGTAATGATGATGAATACAGAAGAATTAGAATGGTATACATTCTCTTTTTAAAAAAATGTAAATGATTATTTTATATTTATTTATTTTATTTTATTTTATTTTAATTTGACCAGAGAGGAACAGAGAGAGAGAGAGAGAGGGAAGGTGAGAAAGCAAGCCTCCAGGCTTGGGACTTGAATAGCGGTCAGCCATGTGGAAGTCCAACGCCCTTAACCACCACGCCACCTACCGGCCCCTAGAATGGTATACTATTTTGAAGTATGTAGTGAATTGTCACCAACTTTCATTACTCTGCTATGCTACAGTACTTTTGAACTCATTCCGTTTATCCGCCTGTACTCAGTTAACCAACTTCTCCCTGTTTTTATTGATTGATTGATTGATTGCCAGAGGGCATGTGCACTTGCCAGAGAAAGACAAAGCCAGAGAGAGAGACAGGGAGAGGGAAAATGCACCTCTCAATGGGTTGTGGTCATACCACAATTCCTTCTCCATTTCTCCACAAGCTGTCAGATTTCTGGGCACACCTGCCTGGCATGTTCTTCAAGCCACTGGAGCTGGGACTTGAACCACATTTTTGGCCATGTGAAATCCTACTCCCTTAATCTCTAGGCCACGGGGCTGGCCCTTCCCATTTTAAAATAAGATTATTTGTCTTTTTATTATTGGGTTGTAAGGATTCTTTCTATGTTCTGGCTTTAGATTAGCAAATAATTTTCTTCAATTTTGTGGATTGTCTTACTTTCTTGACAGTGCCCTTTGAAGCACAAACGTTTTCATTTTGGTGATGTTTGATTTATCTTTTTCCTTTGTTGCCTGTGCTTTTAGTATCATGTTTGAAAAACACTACCTAATCTGAGGACCTGAAGATTTATTCCTACTTTTTTCTAAGAGTTTCATAGTTTTCACTCTTACGTTTTAGGTCTCTGTTCTATTTTTTGTTAATTTTTATACATGATGTGAGTAAAAGAGGCTCAACCTCATTCTTTTTTATGTAGTTATCCAGTTATCCAAGTAACATGTATTTTAAAAGACTATTCCTTACCATTTAACTGCCTTGCAATTCTTGTTGAAAATCAATTGACTATAAATGTGTGGGTTTATTTCTGGACTCTCAGTTGTGTTCCATTCATCTATGTTTGTCTCTATGCTAGTACCACACTGACTGGATTATATAGTAATCATTACTTTGTGATAAGTATTGAAATCAGAAAGGGTGTGTCCTACAATTTTGTTCTTTTTTCAAGATTGTTTGAGTAGTCCAAGTCATTTCCATTTTCATATGACTTTTTGGACCAACTTATCAATTTCTGCCAAGAGGCATGTTGGAATTTTGATAGGGATTGCATCATTGTGGGGAGTATTGCCGTCTTCACAACATTGTCTTCCAATTCATGAACATGGGATGTCCTTCTACTTATTTAAGTATTTGTTAATTTCTTTCAACAATGTTTTGTTGTATAAGTCTTGCACTTCTTCTGTTAAATTTATTCCTACATGCCCCTTACTTTTGAGATCATTTTTATGCACATACATACACACACACACACATTTCCAGAATTTAGATAAATTGCTGTGGGATCTGTTACATGATTTGGGTGACTTTGTCTCAGTGGAGGGGAGGAGGTGAACAGGTGGTGGTAGGCATGATCAGCTGACTAACTAGAGATTAGTTTTAAACTGCTCTAGTCATGTGT